TCAAGGGCAATTACTCTACAAATACTGGATAAATCCACAAGCAAAACCCCAGGTGCAAATCTAAAATATGCTGAGCAACCTGCCTATAAGGTTAAATGACTATGTCAAATCCTTTTTGAGAAACTTGCGACACAAGTTGAAAATTGCAAAAATTTTCTAAGTGAAGGGCAATAACTCTAAAAATACTAAATAAATCCAGACGAAAATACCTGGTGCACAACTGCACATGCTAATCAATATTCCTGTAAAGTAACATGACTCTAGGTCAAATACTTTTTGAGTTACCTGCGACACATGTTGAAAATTGCAAAATTTTACTAAGTCATGGGCAATTACTCTGAAAATACTAAAAATATCCAGACGAAAATACCCAGGTGCACAACTACACATGCTGATCAACATTCCTGTAAAGTTTCATGACTCTAGGTCAAATACTTTTTGAGTTATGTGCGACACAAGTTGAAAATTCCAAAATTTTACTAAGTCAAGGGCAATTACTCTGAAAATACTAAATATATCCAGACGAAAATACCCAGGTGCACAACTACACATGCTGATCAACATTCCTGTAAAGTTTCATGACTCTAGGTCAAATACTTTTGGAGTTACGTGCGACACAAAAGTGAACGGACGGACGGAAGGACGGACGGAAGGACGGACGGACGGACGGACAAGGGTAAATCTAAATGCCAGCCACTAACGTGGGGGCACAAAAATTGCATGTTTGAAGTATATCAATATCTAAAATTGCATTAATTAAATTTAAACAGTCACACGTTGAAAGTGTATTATCATTTGAATTTGCATTAAATTTAAACATTTAATTGTTTGAAATATATCAATATCTAAAATTGCATTAATTAAAATTTAAACATTTACATGCTTAAAGTGTATTACACTCTGAATTTGCATTAAACAATTGCAGACATACAATGTATCATTATTTGAATTTGCATTAAACAAACACAGTGTATCTTAATTTGAATTTGCAGTAAATTTATGTAAACATTTACATGTTTAAAGTATATCGATATCTAAAATTGCATTAAATTTAAACATTTATATGTTTAAAGTGTATTACTATCTGAATGTGCATTTAACATTAATTTTAATTTGCATTAAACATACACAGTGTATCATAATTTGAATTTGCATTAAATTTAAACATTTACATGTTTAAAGTATATTGTTATCTAAAATTGCATTCATTAAATTTAAACATTTACATGTTTAAAGTGTATATCTAAATTTGCATTCAACATTTACAGACTTACAATGTATCATTATTTTAATTTGCATAAAACATTTTCAAAATTAAAAATAAATCATTATATTCAATTGCATATCAAATAATCTACGTATAAGTTACCATTACTGGTATGTTTATTTGCTTTGGTCATCTACAATTATATTTCATACTAACCATTGGCATGAACTAGTATCAAAACATCTACAATATATCACATTTACACATTTATCTAATTATTGCACTTTTCAATTTTAAATTGCCATACACAGCTTAATAAGCTACATATACAATCAAACCTGTGTTAAATACCACCTCCGAATAAAGACCATCCTGTAAATAAAGACCACTTTTTTATCAATTATTCAACAGAGTAAAACTTCAAATAAAGACCACATGTCTATAAAGGTCATGTATGGTCTGTCATTTGGATGGCTTCATTTCACAGGTTTCACTGTATACTGTATTTCAAACACTATTACATATACAAGCATCCCTGATTTCCGAATATATTATATCACATTCTGTCAATGCTGACAACAATAATAAAACTAAATGTAATTGTTCATTAGCACAAATATTACAAACACAGTGTAATAAGAGCTGTCAGTAAGACAGTATGCTTGACTATTCTCAGTGCTAAAAGGTAAAAATGGGGCATAACTCTGTAACAAGAGGGCCATGATGGCCCTGAGGTCGCTCACCTGTATATAGGCCCCCCACCCCCGGGCCAATTTTTACCCAAGGGCTTTTATTTGTTTATTTGAACAGACTTGGTAGACACCCATAAGAAGATGTTTCATGCAAAACATCTAAGTTCTAGCTCATTGACATTTTTAAAAGAAGATTTTTAAAGTTTTTACTATACACATATAGTTAAAAAACAATGTCACCCCTGGGGCAGGGCCAGTTTTGACCCCGGGCGTTTATTTTAACAAACTTTGTAGATATTTACTTAAAGATGTTTCATGCTTAATATCTAAACTCTAGCCATTTGGGTTTTTCCAAAGAAGATTTTAAAGTTTTTGCTATACACATATAAGGAAAATCAATGACCCCCCCCCCTGAGCGGGGCCAGTTTTGACCCCAGGGCTTTTATTTGAACATACTTGGTAGACACCCATTAGAACATGTTTCATGCTAAATATCTTAGCTCTAGCTCTTTGAGTTCTTTAAAAGAAATTTTTTTAAGTTTTTACTATATGCATATAGGGAAAATCTATGACCCCCTGGGGCGGGGTCAATTTTAACCCCAGGGCTTTTATTTGAACAAACTTGGTAGACATTAACTAGAAGATGTTTCATGCAAAATATCTAAGCTCTAGCTCTTATGGTTCTTTAAAAAAAGATTTTTTAAGTTTTTACTATATGCATATAGGGAAAATCAATGACCCCCGGGGCGGGCCAATTTTGACCCCAGGGCTTTAATTTGAACAAACTTGGTAGACACTCACTAGAAGATGTTTCATGCTTAATATCTTAGCTCTAGCTCTTTGGGTTCTTTAAAAGAAGATTTTTTAAGTTTTTACTATATGCATATAGGGAAAATCAATGACCCCCTGGGTCGGGGCCAATTTTGACCCCAGGGCTTTTATTTGAACAAACTTGGTAGACATTCACTAGAAGATGTTTCATGCCAAATATCTAAGCTCTAGCTCTTACGGTTCTTTAAAAGAAGAATTTTTTAAGTTTTTACTATATGCATATAGGGAAAATCAATGACCCCCAGGGGCGGGGCCAATTTTGACCCCAGGGCTTTTATTTGAACAAACTTGGTAGACACTCACTAGAAGATGTTTCATGCCAAATATCTAAGCTCTAGCTCTTATGGTTTTTTAAAAGAAGATATTTAAAGTTTTTTCTTTTGGTTGCCATGGCAACCAGAGTTCTGCATGGAATTAAATTCTTTGAACAATTTTTAAAGGTGACCACCAAAGGAACATTCCTGTGAAGTTTGGATGAAATTGGCTCAGTGGTTTATGAGGAGATGTCATTTAAAGCAAAAGTTTACGGACGGACGGACGGACGGACGCCGGACGAAAAGCGATCACAAAAGCTCACCCTGTCACTTTGTGACAGGTGAGCTAAAAAGATGACTAAAGAGTTTTGGATCTTGTGCCCATCATGTTAGATAATCACATAGAGAAAGTGTGTGTAGTTTTAACCCATTCTTTTTAATAGTTTTGGATATACCAACTTGCATGCAAAAACTTGACCATAGTGTGACGCTAACACTAGAGTGAGTTAAAAATCTCTCCCTATTCTTTGAATAGTAAAGCTTAAAATACAAACTGACAACATAATGCAACATCCACATATTCAATATCACATAAATAAGAAACACACGTTGTAGAAAGTAGAAAAATTACTAGTAACATATGAATATCTTATAATTTACCACTGGTTTTTTTTTCATTCAGTAATATAGATGAGAAGAAAATGATGATTATTAACATTTCTTTATAATGAACAAAATTCAAATATTTTTGAGATGACTAAATGTTTTGCTCTTGAATATATCATCCTTTTTTTAAAAGCCATTAAGTATCAAGAGTAAAAGTGTGTTTTGAAAGTCATTAAAGTATCATTATGCCCATCCAAGTGAAATGGTGAGTAAACCGGTAAAAGTCAAAATATTGTTACATTTTCAAAAATAGTTAAAGTAAGGATTTTCAATACAGTATTTTACATTCTTACAAAGAAAAGTAGGAATACATTTGTAGCATGTGTAGTAAAACTGTTATTCTTAGAAAAGTCTCAGGCAAATAGAATTCCATTCTAAAATAACAGTCCTGGCAGCAAAAAGATTAAAACAACATTAACATAACTAATTACCTTTACATTTATCATTACCAACAAGTATGTCATTCACACAAACAAACATACATACTAACAAACAATAACAGGAAAGTTCTGATATGAACTATAAATTTTCCATACAATTTTCATACCAAAATAACATGTCATGCACACAAACAAACAGACAGACATACCAACAGGAATGTAAAGAAATATTGAGCAAAAGTATACCACAAACATAACATATATGTATATAAGTCATGTAACTTACTGAAAATACATGTATTCATAACAAATAAAAATAATTAAAGTTAAAGTTATTTATAGACGATGGTTAATACTTTATAGGCAAACATTAAGCCAAGTTTTGTAAATCTTAAAATTAATTCAAGGCTTCTTGTTATTACTTTCACTTAAAAAAATAATATCAATGAAAGAATAGTGGGACTTTCTTTAGAAAACAAATACTGTCACTTACATAAGTATATACACCTTAGCTTACAAAAATTAAAAGAAAAAAAATGAAAGGGGCTGTAACTCTTACAAATTATTTGATCTTAATGATACTTAACAGTTACTGTTCTTTTTTTTCAACACTTATAATAATCTTTTTTAATTATATCTGAAATATGATAAAAACAAAACAGACAGACAGATAAAGAGACAAATAACTTTTCAATAATCATGTTTAAACATTGTCAAATTTGTAAACCCAAAACAACACCATAAAAACATTAACATTATAACATTCTTTTTAAATAATCAATTATTTTTTTCATTATTTTTTTCACTCAAACATTATTTCATTAGTATTGTTTTGTTACTTTTAACAGTTACAATTTAAGTGATATGAACAAAAATGTATTGAAAATAAAACTTCAAAATTCAAACTTAATGAATAATGTGTTAATAGTTGAAATTTAAAACTATTGCCAATTCAAGTGAAATTAAGAAGTGATCAAATATGACAGAATTTACTATTTTCAACACAAAATTATACCAAGTTAAAAGCAGAATAACACATTTCTGCATAGTTTGATATATTAAAGTCTTTTCTGTAAATATTAAGTGGTTTAAGCTTGGTTAAATCACAAAATTAAAAATTTGTACACTTTACATCGTTTTCTCATTATAAATACTAGTAGAACTGAAAAACAATCCAATCTTGAACTGTGTAGCTTTAAATGATGGAGTGTTCTTTAACTTATCTTAAATATGGTATCATTTACATGTATTTCAATGAATCAAGTATTGCATATAGTAGTCAAAGTTGTTCACAAGGCAGAAAAACAGAAAACAAAATTCCCTCTATGAAGATACTTCCAATTTTCCAAACTGGAATGGGTTGTTTTTCCGCTTCATTCTGACAAAACATGCAATGGTGGCAATGACAAAAATAAACAGCACACATCCAAGGGCAATTGCAACAATCCAACCTGAAACAACCAAAATTATGACAAAATAATTCTTTATTATTGTTGAGTTTAAAGGTACACTTACACTGTAAAAGTCATATGGTGACATTTCAGTTTTTACAAGTAGATAATAAATCTCAGGTTCCTGTCTAGCATTATTTCGGGCATGACCAAGCTCCTGAATAGAACCACCGGCCCTTGTTAAAGACGTTTTCGGTAGTTTTCTGTGCGCATCGTTATGCGCTTCCAAGAAAGATAATCACGGCTAATTACTCTTCAAATGAAGGTCAAGTTGAATAGTACTCGGATAAGTGTTTAAATTTCGGCTATAAGCAAATAATGAGTAAATAATACAGAATAGATATTTCTAAATGTTCAAAAGGAGATCGGTTCAAAAGAATAAGAGGTCGTTTAGACAACATCACATAAAGGATTTCTCCAAGCATTAGTACGACAGCATTGATGATAATTCTGCGCGCGTTACCCCACCCACTTGTGGTATAGTGACGAAAGTGCGTCGCGACTTGATTACTAGCAGACAACTGGGCAAAGAAGTTTAAAATGATATATTTTAAAAGTGTTGAATAAAAAAACAAAATTAATATCTAAAATTTTCTTTGTAAATTTCAGAATACTTGCTTACTGTTCGGGTATGTTAGTCGAGTGAAAAAAATAATATGGCCCTAGATATGTTTTAAAAAGATATTCAGTATCATTTACTTAATATAACATCAAAAGAAAAAGAAATTTTTATTACAACATGTTTTTGTTGTATATTTGACAATACATTTAGTATAACACTGATATTTCTTAAGAAAGCGTGGTAATTTTGACAGTTGGCATATGCGGTAACCATGGAAACTGCCCGTTTACAAAAAACTAACACGTCAACATATATATTTTATTTCTATTTTTGAATCCACCATCAAATGTTACTTGATATATCAATAATGTAGAAAATTCTATGAAAGAAATTTCTTGATAGCTTTAATTTTTTACAGAATTCATGTATATTTTTCTCATTTTTTGTTTAGTTAAAAAGCATGAAAACTTATTTTTTAAAGAAATAGGTTCCAATTATCGTTTGTTTTATACAGAACCCTAAGATAAAGCAAGCTTTGTATAAAATTATGTTTATTGTGAGTGTAATAAGCTATTTTATACATTATTATAACACAGTTTGGCTATTTTGACAATTTTGAGATATACGGTTACCATGGCAACTGCCATTTTTCAAAAAATCCAACACGCCAACATATATTTTTCTTTTTCTTTTTGAATTTGTCATTAAATTTTACACAACATATAAAAAAATTAGAAAATCCTATGAAACACTTTTTTCAATATCTCTAATTATTCTCAGAATTCATGTTTATTTTTCTCATTTTTTGTTTGGTTGTGGAACATGGAGAACTCATTTTTTAAAGAAATATGTTCAAATTATCATTTGTTTCATACAGAATCATTAGACAAGATTATCTTTGCATAAAACAATGCTCGTTGTGTGTTTTAAGCTATCTTATACATTTTCTATTCGTTATAACACAGTTAGGCTATTTTGACAGTTTTTAGATATACGGTTACCATGGAAACTGCCATTTTACAAGAAATCCAACACGTCAACATATATTTTTATTTTTAAATTTGTCATTAAATTTTACTCATCATACAAAAAATTAAAAAAATTCTATGAAAGGATTAATTTTTCATAAAACTGTAGAAAATGTCTTTAAGTTAGATTGGTAGCAAGATCTCATATTAACAGAAAGACAGAATAAATTAGAGTATTTTTGAAATATTGAAAAAGTATATTTTTTGTGTTTCTAGATAAGCTATTACAGCAACAGGACAGAAAACCCTTGCCAATCTAATGCAAATATTTCCAAATTATAAAACTGCATCACTAAAAAGTAACATTTAAACTTCAGAGTGGTGAGGAGCAAGAGGTTTGAAGTCAACCAACCATCTGAAGTACTCAGCCATGGATGCCGGCCAGATGTATCCAAGTTTTTGTTGTTGTTGTTGTTGTTGGGTTCTATGTCGCACCACCACAGTAAAGGTCATATGAAGACTTTCAGCGAAGACCTCAGGCCCTCTTCTGTGCATTATTTCAGACAGGAAGGTAGAACCACGCACTTCTGTAAGCTAGCTGTATAGCTTCTTCACATGAAAGAATCCAAAGTCCCTGTTGGGATTTGAATCTACAGCTGTTAGAGGCAAGTGGTTTGAAGTCAACGATCTTAAGCAAATACCCAAGTGATTCCAGCATAGCCTCTTCCTGTACATATAATATCATATATGTTTCAAGTAACATACCTGTGGTTAATGTAGATGAACCTGAAGGGGTATCACCTGGTGGTAAGCCACATTGCTTTAACCAGTCTGTTGGTACACCCCACTGTGTTAATCTTATAAAATCATCTAACGGACAGTCAGCCGTGCACTCTGAAGAATAAATTCATCTTAATCTACTGTTTAAGTGGTAAATTTTGCGACATGGAAATATTTGCAGGTCTTGTGAATAGAAATTATTCGCAAATATTTTAACGCACAAAAATCATTTCTTTTTAGGTGGACTTCTGTCTATTATCTGAAAACCCATTTTCATACAGCATCTTACAAGAATAAATTTGACGGTTCAGGTACTGAGATCAAATTTTTCTCATTGCTTGTTTGTTTAAGTTTTGTCTTACCAAATCACAAATGTTTTAATGAAACAATATACGTGTTAATAACACAATAGATTATTCATATAACAAAAGAAAGTTTCAAAATATGACAAAGAAATGTGTGATTAGGTCCTTTATCAAACTAACAACATAAATTTTAAACAATGAAATAGATAATACAGGTCTCAAACAATTGAATAGAATGACAATAATAATGGCAGTTCTTAACATGTACCTGCTTAAGTAAAGCTATCACAAAAACGTTATTAAATTCAAGAAATCATATTTTCACAAATATTTCCGCAAGCAAAAAGTCCACTTTTTGACATGCGCACAATTTTTGTGACACATAAAAATACACTTATAGAGTATAATAGTAAACATAACCAATCACTGGACATGGAATGGAACATGGAATTTTGTACATAGTGTACTGGTCAAAAAAAGATCTCTTGGAGAGCTGCTTTGAAAAATTATATCCAACACAAGCCATGTTACAAATGAAACCAGATTTTTAAGTTTGTTGCATATACATGTAACTTCAAATGTTGTCTTAGACATAAATCGTTAATTGAAAGAGCAATTCTTACTATTTGGGACAAATTGATACTTAAAGGAACAAGATAAGACAGAAATGTACATACTTGGTAGTGTCAGTTTATAAGCTGTGGAATTATCAGTGACATTTTTGTAGAATATGTTAACATAGTAATTGTTAGCTGGTTTCTCGTGAAGCTCCACAATAACTGTAGCTGTGTACATCGGGCTCTTCTTGTCATACAAGCCAAGGGCAGATAATAGTGCCGCTACTGTTGTGTCGTGCTAAAAGTAGAGCAGGTAACAGAAAATGAGGTATTTTGGCCAATATCATGTAAGGAAAAAACTCCTTGAAGGTCATAGTTCTGTTAAAAGTAATCAAATCACAGTATCCTGACAATATGCCCCAGGGGGCCTTGATGATATGCCCCAGGGGGTCTTGATGACATGCCCCAAGGTTTTTTTTTCCAGTCAATCTAACAACTTTATTTTTATATACACTTACTGCTGAGTACATAAACATCTTTGTTTTAAGAGTCTTCAGGGTTTTCTTATTGTTCATGTTCTTTATGAACTGGCTTAACAAGGGACCTGAAATCATAAAAATAAGTTGATTAAAGTGATTTTATATTCATCAAAATTAATTATTAGGTTTATTAGTTTTTAATGCAATATCACTAATGACTTCATAAACATGTGCCTTTAAAATTTGGAAATTATAATGTAAGTTTTTCCTGTTTTTTTTTTTATTTTTTTCATGCCAATTTTAATACATTTTTTAAGTCACATCTGAGGTGATCCCCCTTTGCCATTTTCCTACATTATCAACAAGAAATTTGTCCACATGTGACCAACTGCTAATCCCACATGTATTTCTGAATTAGTGGTGACAGGCAAATGACAATTAGACTCAATGTGTAAGATCAATCCTCTAGAAAAAATAAAAGTCCCTGAAAAACAATGATTCAAATTTAAGGTAGTCTTACAGTAATGCTGCTTTCCCGCCAAAAATATTTCTAACATCGGCCAATATCGTTGCAAATCGGTTATTTCTAAAATGTTATTTTTGCATAATCTGTAGCATTAGATTATTAACTATTACTATGCACTATTTTCCAGTTATAAATGGTTAAATAAATAATGTTCCGGAAATGTGAGATTTATTTGATGTTAGAATTTTTTTTTTGGCGGGAAAGCACATTGCATTAAGACTACCTTAAAATCAACACTTTTGAAAAAGTCATTTACAACAATCAGAGACAATGTAGAGATAAATTAATCAACATACCTCCTTTAAGCATACTCATTTCAGGTGTGTAAAACAAAAGCGTGAACTGATACGCCTCAAGCTCTCGTAATTTTTGAAATACTGTGTCATTGATCCATGAACTTACGTTCATACCATGAGCTTTCTGAAAGAATAAAAATGTAAAAAAAAAGTTTATAGTTTTCAACTCCTTAATCCTATTCTTCTTTTACTTAACATTTTATCTTCTGCATGAAATTAATTTCCAACGGGCAAAATGAAAAAAAAAATTGTATATGTGTTGTACTTTCTTTTAAAATTAATTGAAAATGTAGCAGACTTTGTTTAACTGAGCCTGTTCACGGACATTAGTGGTAATAGAAAGTTATCATGCATGCCCCATAGCACCACCAGCTTAATCAGAATTCAACAGTTAAACATAGGTTAAAAATTAAAACACATTTAAAAATAATTTTGAATGAAGAAACATCCACAGATGTGTTCATGCCAATTATTAAAGAATTTGCTTAAACCAGCTACTGCATTTCTTTTTTATTAAATATTAGTTCCAAATAATCATAAATACTCTGACACAGAAGTCATAAAATACCAAATATATCAACTCACCACTCATAAAATACCAAATATATCAACTCACCACTCATAAAATACCAAATATATCAACTCACCACTCATAGAATACCAAATATATCAACTCACTACTCATAGAATACCAAATTTATCAACTCACCACTCATAAAATACCAAATATATCAACTCACTACTCATAAAATATCAAAAATATTTATTCACCTCTCATAAAATACAAAATATATCAGCTCACCACTCATTAAATACCAAATATATCAACTCACCACTCATAAAATACCAAATATATCAACTCACTACTCATAGAATACCAAATTTATCAACTCACCACTCATAAAATACCAAATATATCAACTCACTACTCATAAAATATCAAAAATATTTATTCACCTCTCATAAAATACAAAATATATCAGCTCACCACTCATTAAATACCAAATATATCAACTCACCACTCATAAAATACCAAATATATCAACTCACCACTCATAGAATACCAAATTTATCAACTCACCACTCATAAAATACCAAATATATCAACTCACTACTCATAAAATATCAAAAATATTTATTCACCTCTCATAAAATACCAAATATATCAGCTCACCACTCATTAAATACCAAATATATCAACTCACCACTCATAAACTAACACAAATATCTACATGTACTAACCTCACAATATGTTGTGTCAGCTATCTGCCAGATATTACTAATGTTCTCATGATCAAACCCAGTCATTTTGCCAAGGAACTCATAAAATGGCTGCAAAAATAAAATCACACTGAGAACACATAAAATGCCTGAAAACTATATTAACAATGAGGAACTCATAAAATGGCTGAAAGACAGGAACTTATTAAAGGGCTGTAAAACTACATTAACAACGGGGAAAGTTGTTATTAGAATAAACGTTGCACCAAGGCAGTATATAGGTCATATAGGTGACTTTCCAACTTTATTGGTGGAGGAAGATCTCAGGTGTCTCTCCATGCATTATTTCAGGCACAAACTGGCACCTGAGTAGAACCACTGACATGTCTTCAAAGCAAGTCTTCATGATGGGTATTTATAAAAACCTTGTTTATGATGTTCATATACATAAACAATTGACTTATATATAATAATCATAAAACATAAAATTTCTAAAAAAATACTTTTTCCCAAAAATTATGTCATTAATGATGGTATTTTGTAAATAATGTCACAGAATAAAAACATATGACAAAGCTAATACCTTATTTTTAATCTCCTCCTCAGTGACAGCATGTGATGACAGCGTCTGCTGCAGCAGGTCATTGTATCGTGGGCAATACTCACCCATATTTAACATCTGAAACAAACTGTATCTTTATTAAATATTTTAATAAGATTTATTCATCAACAGTAAAATTATATTGGTTTCATTATAATTTGGATGATTCCCATAAGATGTTGTTACAATTAGACTGTCTCTGTTATTTAATACACATGAAAAATGTACGTAAACAGAATAAAATGTTCCGCATCAAAATATTACTTTGCTACTTTAAGTAAGGGTTTATCCATTTAGCAACAATTTTGTGCATGGGCCATTCGCTTTTAAGGTAATAAATTACCATATTTATTTCATCCACGCATTTTTGAAGTAAACTTTTTAAAATTCAAACAATAGTTTTTTTGAATCAGATGTACATAGCTTTATACACTTTAATTAATTCAGCTCATCTGCTGTATATACAAGTAGAATAACAGCAGCAGGGTGAGTAGAAAAATAATGTCTGTCTGTCAGATAGGATAAGTGGAAAATTAACATAGTAGAAGACCGCCTGAATGAATGTTTTAATATATTTACATTTCATATACATGATAAAGAAACAAGAGCTGTCATAGGAAGTGGGAGAGTAGGACAGCTCTCCATATACTTTGTATAGTCAAGCTAAAAACTGAAAACAAGCTGCAATTTGGGTATGCATAAAATGTGCACTGTATAAACTACGACCAGATGCATTTGATTTGTGTTCATGTGTGTGAAGTTTATACATGCCCCCAAAAAATATCACTTTGGTTTCCAGTTTTCTTTTGATAATCTTAACATATGAAATATGCTTATTCCAGTGGTTATAAACTTACCTGCATATTATTTTACAAATTTAAGCTGAAGAATTAATATTGAAAATAACATATCATCACCTTAGTGCAGTAATGTGTTAACTTCTACTTAATTTATATAAGAATTTAACCCGTTACTGCACTAAGGTGACAACATGAGTAGTAAAGCATGCAGGATGAGTAGAATTAAGCAGAAAATGTTTTTCGATCCCCAACTTTCAAATATATGCAACAATCAGAATTGAAACTGTAATTTTAACTCACATTATCCTCAGGTTTTGGTCTTGTAAAGACTGGTATTGGTTGCCATTTTATAGCTGGGTTAAATTGTTGATCAACATCAGGTGGATAAAGCCCTGCCAGGTTACTGTACGCACTCATCAGGCAGCGATCCTCATCAGAGCTATGTACCAGGATCTGAAAACGTAATAAACTTGACATATTTACTCTATCATGTGTCACAGTTTAGAACTGTTCAGTATTTGGGGGAGATGATGTGTAAGTGGCCGTAGAGCTCTGTTAATAGAGCCACGGTACTGCATCCCGAAATCCCAGGTTCAATTCCCATTGAATAATCCCCGATTAACCACCATCCGTTACATACATATAATTTCATATGATCTTCTGATATGTTAAGGAAACAATATAAAACAAGCCTTTGGCGAACTATTTAATCAGTATTGTTAAATTTATCAGACCCTTAAGGATCATTTATGCCAATACTTTATTTTGTTGAAGATAGCATGATCTGCTCAAAGCAGCCATCAGCTTTGATTTTTTGTTAGAAAAACAATTTTGTGTTGTTTCAAACTAAGTATTTCAATATTTTCATCTTAGAAAAGTGCATAATATCACTGTTAAGCCTTCTTCAAAACAGCATCCCAAGAATATTTATAACACGTCAGTGACATTTGTTTCTAAAAATAGAAATCATGTTCCCTTTACTACTTTATATATCGAGAGAAGATTGGCAGATCAGAGGTATGGGGGTGGGAGCCTTATTTTTTAGGTATTTTGTCATGGCAAATTTCATATCCAACCTGAAATATTTTGATTTGACAATAATATGAAATTATTTATCTAAAATAACATATAATTTTAGAAAAGCTAATGGCCACTTTAAGTGGCTTAAGATTAAGATTTTGCACTTTCCATTATGTTTCATTAAACAGACTCAATAAAATCTGAGTCTGAATTTTCTTCACTCATTGCTTTCAATGGTTCATCCACCATTTCCAAACTGTTTTTTAAAACATTACTGGGATGGGTGTTATTCAAAGTAACTTGAAATAACTACTGTAACAACTGTACAATTACTTCTAGCACATATTATTATAAAACTGCAAGGATATGACCCCCCCCCAAACAAAAGCATAATTACGTACCAGTAATTTGTCAACAATAGAGTTATTATTACACATACAGCATAAACAAAGATAGATATAATACAAAGATGGGTATACACTTATATGTAATTTCCTACATGCAGATAATCAATCAAGTTCTCTAAACAGTAAACTAACCTCCTCTCTCCTATATGTATTGTTCATGAAGCCTGTACTCATGTAGCGGTCCTTCAGCCACTGACCTAATCTGTACTGCTCCTGTTCTCCCAACTGTTACCATGAAAATAAAAATGAGCCGTGTCACGACAAAACCAACATAGTGCGTTTTGACCAGCATGGATCCAGACCAGCCTGCGCATCTGCCCAGTTTGATCAGGATCCCTGCTGTTCGCTTACAGACCCTATAACAAGTAAAGAAACTGCTAGCAAACAGCATGGATCCTGATCAGACTGCGGGGAAGCGCAGGCTGGTCTGGATCCATGCTGGTCGCAAACCCATTATGTTGGTTTTGTCATGACACGGCTCAAATAATGATTTCTTGATTTTCTGTAATTTTGAAATAAGGAAGGCAAGAGAGTTGTAATCTAGTCATCACTGGTTTGATCCTCATTCTTTCAAGATGACTGATTGCGAACAACGGTCAACCAGTTTTACAGTTTATTATCTCTTACTGCAGATGTAGGTTAACTTAATCAGTCACTTGTGGAGAAATTAGTGATCAAATAGTTACAAATGTATGAAGAAAAGCCAGTAAAGTGTACCAACAGCCATGATTATGACAATTTCAAACAAGAACTGTCGGTAGGACAGTCTGCATGACGATTTTCAGTGCTTCATAGTAAAACATTTAACAAGAGCCTGGATATTGCAGCATTTCTAAGTTCAAAAAGGACCATAATACTGTCAAAATCCATGCTATTTAGTTATGGGTTCTAAATAGTGACCTCCTATTGTGGTCTAAAATAAATGTGTAAAGTTTCAACCAATTACAAGCAAAAACTTAACCAAAATGTTGCACTAATGTCGTGGTGAGTACAATAGTTCTCCATATCAAATAAAAAACCAAACAAACATACAAGTCATTTGAAATCATGTATTTGTTAGAGTTATATTTTTGTCACTTCCTACTTGCTTTGCTGTAATACTTTGTATCTATTTGTTGAAATCATTAACTTAAGACATTTTTAATTACACATACAACATGCTTACACGTTTCCATGTATCTTAATATTAATTCTGCAACTTTTATGATAATATTCATCCAGTGTGTACACCATTTACCTTTGAAAGCCATCCTAATCCTTGTGGCCATTTATCCACCTGATTGATGTCTTTAGGGTAAATAACAACCGGACTTCGATCTCCATGCCTGTACACCTATAATATATGGAAAAGTCATCTTAATATTACTTGTTGGATTGGAAATTAAACCATTGAATCAACTAATGATATAATATTATAAGAGTCACAGTGATGTTGTGTCAGGAATGTTTGAATGATGAAATTATTCCATTAAATATTAGTTTATAAAAATTTGCTTTAGGGAAAATTACAAAATGTTATAAGCTATATTTGCTGCAAGCTATAAACTCACATGTATATTAAAAAAAATCTTTTGAATCTGTTTCTGGACCAAGCTGTACTAACAAATTAAAGTAAAGTTACATTTGCCAAAGATATGAGATTTTTATCCCTTTTTTATTTTCATCATTTACAAATTCTAGTCAAAATATATTGACCTGCCAAAGCTAGATCCCACGATATTTTCATTCTGGACAGAATCTCGCTTTTAGAGGCAAGATATTGCCCAGACACAAAAATAGTACAACATTTCGTTGCACAGCACAATAAGCTGGATTTATACAAATTCATAATAAAAAATAGGAATTGATACAAGAGATAAACAAATTTACTGGTTGAATGAATAAATGTTATCTATAAATGAACATTTTACGATTTGCAGGTAGATCTACCCAGTTTTGTTTATTACATGCCTTTTTGTACAAAATATTTTCAAGTTAAACATATTTAATAGCGAGCTCAAAATGCTGGCCCGAAGTGCCTGCTCGCAAAGCGAGCTTTACGTTAACGCGAGTACCTGCTAGATAGTGATGGTTTTGAAAACTTTCGTCCGAAGAACTGAATTGACACATCGCAACTTTTCGAATTACAAGACAACGATAAAAACCAAGATATTCTGATTGAAAATCGAAGTGCAGACTGGTGTCCTGCCCACAGTTGGAAACCATAATTGGACAGGGAACCAGAATAAACGAATGACAATTTTAAAACGGAAAATGTAAAATAAAAATGAACAATTATTTTATACTATTTCACGTTAAAAGTAAATCGAGCATGCTTCTAGGCTTTGCCTTTTTATATTATAATATTACTGACAGGTTTAACAGTCTCCAGTCATCGAATTTAGCACTGACCCTGAGCCCCATGGCCAGTGAAAATTAGTTTGGGCCAGTGTCAATTTTAAGAAAATTTAGTTAAATATATATCCTGGTTGTACTATCTACCGGGAATGTAAGCCTTACTAGGCCCACCATCATATAATACAAAAAAAACTAAAATAAAATAGTTATTTTCTGTAGGAGGTACCGTTTTTTTATGAAAATAACAATCATCCAAAAGAATTTTTAACTATACATCAAAAAGATAGTTCTGTTAATAACCTCATATGAGTGGCAGCCATTTTTGTTTTTTAGTACTTAATACTAGGAATGCCTTTTAAGCAATCAATAAAAAGTTAAAAACATATGTAAATGGTCCATTACTGTTAATGATACTAAAGTTCTATTCAATATTTATCAGTTATCACACAGTAAAAGGGTAACTATTTGATAAGCATTTGCACACACATTCAAAATATCATGATGGGTCCAAATCGTTAGCAATATTACTGGTTTTTATACGTAAAACACATTTATGTGAATAGGGTTATTACAGATATACTAAAACCCGTGACGGCATCATCACGGAAAATATAATTTACTGTCACGGGTTTTGTTATTTTGTTAAGTTAGATTATTTATTTAAATATAAGTTACTAAAGATTTTATTTGATTTTATGAATGATTATTTTAGTTTTATCTTTTAATTTACATTACTATCACGTTGCGATCACAACTTTATATCACAATAACGTCACGTGATTGACTTAGTAGAGATGTCAGTTAAGATGGTAGGAACATAGAATTAAACGTCATTGAGCACAGACTGATATCGGCCCTTCCTTTTAGACCAAGAGGTGGCGAAACGTGGATTTTTAAAGGGGACGGTCTAAAAGCACAGGATTGGCGAGCTGACGGACATCGTTGGATAAACCAAGGCACTGTGGGTCTTCCACGCAAAAATCCGCGGTTAAAGAAAAAATATTTTTATATACATACCGAGAATGGGGCATCAAAAGAATTTGTTAAATTTGTTTACCATGAACCTGAATGCATTAACGGTCCTTTTGTAATTCAGTACATCGGCAATGAACAAATCTCACAGCTGATGTCCCATGGAAATTCAAAAAACCAGAAACGCCCTTTTTTAAGATCAAAGCCAAGCAGTCTAGAAAAAAGGCTAAATAAAACAAAATCGGAGGATCCGAATTTAGTTTATAAGAAAGAAATTCATGACAACGACGAACAGCCAAGGGACTTAAAACAAATCCAAAATCTGCGACATAAAGGAAACACAGAACTTAGAATATCTCGTGATGCCTTATACAATCTGCATGCTTTAGCTAGAGACACAAGCAATTTCTCATGGTCGCGCAGGCATTGGTACCTACACTTTAAAACCTCAATACATTTCAGCTAAAATTGATCTCTCAGAAATTATCCAATTTACAGTTTCACAACCAGAAGATATTGTAAAATTAAATGGCATTCGTGAAAACCAATTTGTCTCTAATGCAGAAAATGATGCACATCCAGAACCAAATATCCCAAAAATTGATATTAACTTCTCACGCGCCAATGAACTTATAAAAAATGATAGAATCGTTTTCGCTCCAAGGAAAAATCCGTGACGACTCAGCCGTCACGGAAATTAGATTCACCCGTGACAGTACCAACTCAGGACCATGAGGAAAAATCCGTGACGTCTCAGCCTCCGGAAGAACCATCGTATACTATATATATTGAACAGGATATTGAACCAGGAGAGCCAGTACAGTCCAACACATCGGTAAGTGGACCAGAATGGCTAGATATTAGGCAGATTAAACTTAAGGACGAAGAAAAAAGTATCCTGTATTCACCAACAGAGTGGTTAAATGATCGGTTGATTGATGCGGCGATGTCTCTTCTAAAGACACAGTTCCCACATACATATATAGTATATGGGGGCTGGACAGTTGCCTAAATGCATCAACTCTAACGTTTACTCGTGCTTTTGGAAATTTCATTCAGATCGTCAACAGAATGCCAGAAGATGGTTTGTATGTTGTTTGCAATAAATGCAAAATATGGTACCATCCAGAATGTGAGGGTCTACAAAAAGATGACATTCCTGGTGATGACATTCCATATTTCTGTACAAAATGTACACACCCCCAAAAGAGAAACATACGACGAAAAAAACGCATGTAATGTGCAATGTATAATATATACTTTAAAACTTTAGTTTAAATTTAAAATAAATTTAATACTGTTATTTATCGTCACTTGTTTTACTCATTTCCCTTAATTCATCACATTTCATAATGTTATGTTTTCATTAAATGAAGAAAAAAAAAAGATAAAAAAGAATGATTATTTATCATTAGGATTAGTTGCATCGTCACGGATTTTAGCTACCCTTCATGACAGACGAATAACGGCGAATATAGTTTGTCACGGTATTTAGTGCCTTGCATTATATATCACGGTAAATTTAGTGTGTCACGGATTTTAGGTACATGTCACGGATTTATGTCGTCACGGAATTAGATATTGTCACGGGTTTTAGGTCATCCCGGGTTATCAAAACTTTGAATTTTCTTCAAAAAATGCTATATTTTGTATGAAATTAATGTGAAAAACACTTGCATACAAAAGAAAATTTTTATGTAGGTATTGTTTGTAATATCTGGACATTTCCGGTACAAAGTACCTCCTGGTATAAAGTACCTTGAGGATAGATCTAGTACTAGTAGTAGAATATTTAAAACCACAGGTGCTTGAAAGAAACTTTTTAAAGTTTTATATGGGCTATATACTATAATAAGATATTTTCATATACATATATAGACCAGTTATGTAAACTGTTTAACTTATATCACTCACTAAACTATTTGATTATGTGACTAGCGCCTGTGTTTAAAACTGGAATTCGGCCAGTAAATTCGAAATCTTAAATTCAATGACTGCAGCCAGAACAAATAATTTAATATTAAATACATTCACATGTGATTATAGACAAAAATGAATCTGTATGCTGATATTGTGCTGAGATGACACGCCTCTCCCGAGTTGATACGAGCTGTCATAGGGCCGAGTAACCATTTCCTGTCTTTTACCCACGAAAACTAATAATAATTTCCGTTTAACAGACAAATCAAGACATCTCTCCATTTAGAAAATTTCATGTGATATTGGCAGTCTTACCAAGTTGACAAGCCTTAATGTGGAGTCTGCAAACACAACAGAGACGAGTGAAATCGAAAGAAAAACTTGGAAATTTCCCATTTTGACTTTTCAACCGGTGTCTTGTAAAACTCACACAACTGTGATCACGTGAAGGTCTTCGTTACGACGTAATTAACCAAAGGTTGTTTATTTTATAAGAAGTGTTATCTGATTCATAGAAACAATAATTTTACTCATGTATATTTTAATTAAAACGTGTTTTTTCACACAGATTTATATTTCATCAGGTCATAGGTCCTGATCAAGCAATTTTATTATTTTTTTGAGGAACTGTCAAACAGATGGAGAGTCTGACCTCAACCTGACAGTGACAACATTTGTTAACTTACTTAACAGTGTTAAATGATGTAAGTGCATGTCTTGCATTCTAATGTCTTGGAGAGGCACAAGCCTGGCATCGGCAGAGGATTGAATATTTACTGCAAGACAGCTAGTTCGCTTGCATCTACATGTAATTCTTGAAGCTTGTGTTATGTTTAAGGTGACACAGCTTAGCTTGTTTGAAGTTAAATGCGGAAATCCTTACTGAAGCCGAGGCTAGTGACAAGTGGGGAGAAACGACAAGGAAGGGTACTAGGGTGTGTGAGCCCCTGGTATGTAGAGACAGCTTGAATTGTGACACCCTTTTCTGTCAACAGCCTTTATCAGGGCTAACCTCCTTCATTACTGTCACAGGTTACTGCACATTAAAAGTGCTCATTGACCGCTTTATAGTATCCTGCATTCAGCTAAAAATTGATCGCTTTGGTTGATACACTGGAAATTACACAGAGGTTATTCATCACCACTTTGTGCTTAAAAATTAACTCTTTTAAGGGCATGACTGGTGACATGTCCAGGTCTGGTACTTTGACAGTGAAAGCTGCTTGTTGTGCCTTCATGGGTGGAGCCTCATTTAACATAGACTATATATATACTTTGTAATGCACCAACTTTGATTTGAAATTGGGATTGATGCTTCTATGGTGACACTGTAGTCAGAGTATTTTGCCCTTACCATATAGATAGAGATTTTGTCCAGAGCATATCTCCTACACATATGGAGAGATTCTAATGAAACTTTAAACAAATGTTCACCACTATGAGAAGCAGTGTGATGTGCATGAACTAGGTCTCTTGTTCAAAGGTCAAGGTCACACTTAAAGGTCATTGGAAAACGCTTAGTGGTCAAAGTTCAGATAAAAATTTGAAAATGTGTATTCAGACCATTTGGTCATCATTTATTGAGGGACTGAAACAAAAATGGTCATTGTCATGACTACTGGTGTGAAACATGTAATTTAGGTTAATATATGCATGGTCAAGGTCATTAAAGATGATAAAATATAAAAATTATGTCCAGAGCATATCTCCTTCATGCATGGGATTCTTATGAAATTTAATAGAAATGTTCACCACTATGAGAAGCAGTGTCATGTGCATGAACCAGGTCTCTAGGTTAAAGGTTAAGGTCACATTTAGAGGTCATTGAAAAATGTTTGTTCGGAGGCGAACTTTTAACTCATCAGGGGGATTTTAATGTATTTTTTAGGAAATGTTCACCATTATGAGGCTTATTGCGCACATAATCCAGGTCCCTGCTACCAAAGTCAAGGTCACATAGAGAGGTCAAAATTTGTGTACGGGGACCATTTAGTCATCATTTATTGATGGATTGTAACACAAATGATAACTATCATGACTACAAGTGTGACATGTGTAATTTAGGTTAATATTTGCAAGGTCAAGGTCACTAGAGATGATAAAATATCCAGATATTTTCCAGAGCATATCTCCTATATGCATAGCTATAATGCCCACATCTCTGTCGAAAGCTTTTGTGACGGGTATATTTTGCGACAATGTTGCCCTTGTTCATCTTATATAACAGAGGTCTATAAAAGGCATCTCCCCACTGGAAATTTTCCTTAAAATCATGAAGTTTTACCCGCATTTTTATTTCCCAAAATTTTAGCGATTATTCTTCCGTAAATCAAGAGTAGCTTAAGGCCTCTTCCCATTTAAGTTAGAAAAACCCTTGCTAGGTTACATCTTCATTTAAGACAGTACAAGGGATTAAACAAGTATTGATAGATCCCTATTCCGACCTTTAATTTGAATAACAATATATTAAACCACAAACATGAACAAGTGCTCTTTTGTTAACAAATATGATTGTAGTGAAATACTTATTGTATCCACTAATCTGTTAATTAGAATTAGACAGGTCAGGGATCTATGCATTACTAGTGGGTATCTTGGGGTGCCTGTTGCAAAGTGGTTAAGGTTGTTCATAATGTAGACTTAAAATCATATGCCCGTCTACGCTGTGAGTTTGAATCCCATCAGGAATGTTCACACAATGAAGGGATCCAGATACTTTACAGACTATTTGTGGATCTAAATTTACTCAGGTGCAAGTTGGACCCTGAAATGATGCATGGAGAAGCACCAGAGGTCTCTATCAGAAAAGCAGGGAAGTCACCATAATATGATATTACAGTGTTGTTGGATCATAAAATCAAACCACAAAAAACTAATGGATGAAATTAATTTGGCATAATGTATTTTTTCAGGAAAGATAAAGTTATGCCTGGTACCAGCCATGTTATATCACTGTATAGACAGATGTTAAGAAAAGGGAGATCACTTCAATTCACTGACAAAAACTACTTTTACCACAGAATTAGAGATGAGTTTGAAAAGAACAAGCATCTGACCAAAGAAGCTGACATTTCATTTGCTATTCAGGTATGTAGTTAATGCCTAATATGAATTTGTACAGCTCTAGCCAGTGTCTTAGTGGACATCTTTGAATGTCTGCTTGGCTCAAGGTTGATTTTACATACATGTGCATGATTTGGCTAAAGTCAAGGTGAGAGCAGCTACGTGAATGTCTTGTTATAATTTCAAGATTTTTTACACAGTCTATATAACACCATTATAAATTTTACTATTAAACTGTGAGTTTTACAGTACTTTTAAAATTAAAAATGTTTTTTCACTATAAATTACTGCAAAATTCAGGTTCAAGATTTATTGAATCAGCCTTTTGGGACAACTAGGCTATACATTTATCCATAGAAATCTCTAAATAATGTAAATATGGCTTTTGGGACTGCATCAATAAATTACTTGAATATAATATTGATGATTTGTTATCAAGAACTTGATAAGTGTAGGTTTTTCCAAGCAAATCCCATGATACAAACAAATGTTTCTGTATTAAGTCTACTGGAATCTTTGTTATGAATCTCATATTCCAAGAAAATAAGGATAAATTATACACTAAAATATTTTTTGTTCTTCTATTTCAGAAAGCTGAAACTTTTCTGAAGAATAACAGGGTAGTATAGGATGCAGAGAATGTTTAAGAAGCATTTAATCAAAATGCTAACACCATTTAAGAGATAACCAGAAGATAAGTTTGTAAAAGTTGATTGAATACCAAAGTAGTAGACAAGAAAGAAGATAAAAACTTTGTTTAGGTTTTAATTACAGAATTTGTTTTGAACTAGAAGTAAGTGTAAAGACATAGTTTGGCATACAAGAGGACACTTGTAACAAGGTTTATAAAGAAAAGATGGAGAATGAAAATATGAACATTTCAGACAATGTAGCTATGGTGACAGCTGTCCAGGAAAATAATGTGGATCAAGTGAAACGGCTCATAGAAAGGGGACAGAATCAGTTCTGTCTTGATTCTGGGTTATGCTGGGCATCTAGACTAGGTTACCTCCCTTTAGTTGTCTTACTAGTGGAGGGAGGAGCAGATCCAAATTCTGAGGTTTGGGGTGGATTTTCTCCCCTGATTTGGGTAACTATTTTTTCTGGTGATACAGATGTAGTGCGATATTTGATTAACTCTGGAGCAGACGTAGATCACAGTTCTGCGAAAAGAAAACAGACTGCTATACATGCTGCTGTTATAAAAGGAGATTCAAGACTGGTTCAGTGTCTTATTGACTCGGGAGCCAGTCTAGACGTTCAAGATTATCTCTACAAAACGCCGCTTCTTCATGCCGTACAAAGAAACATTCACAATGTTGTGTAAACTTTGATTCTTAATAATTGTAATGTGAATTTACCTGGTTTTGTAAATGGCACAAGATTATCTCCCCTTTTAGTAGCTCTTCTTCAGAGTAATTTGGAGATCACAAAAATGCTTTTACTGGCAGGGGCAAAATTTGAACAAATGGCTATCTATCAAACATTCACATTGGCACATTTCTATAAAACTGTTGAGGAAAGTTTGAATCTTGAGGTGAGACCGATCTACCTTCAGCAACAATGTAGAGTTAGCATAAGAGAGCTTCTTAAACCCCATTTCCTGCAAAAACTGAAACAAATTGAGTTACCTCCCCTGTTACGTGAGTTTCTTAGCATGGATGAATTGAACAGAGTTTTCTGAAAGTTACTGAGCTCACCTTAGGGCAAAGTATTCAAGAATTAATTATTGTCATCATTTAATGTGTATTTATCTGTAAAGTTAAATTTCACCATTCTAGAGATGTGATTTATCTTCTTAGCATTTTAAAACTTGATCTAGAAATTAAAGGTCAAACCTGAAAAGATGCATCACCAATGTTAAAAAAAGCTAGGTCACTAGATCAAATCAAATCAAAGAAATAGTTTTGAACCATTCAGTACCATGTATGCTGACCTTGCTCTGTACTGTTGGTGAAGTCTTACTATCATCACCAATACCACTACTACCATAATTACAAATACCACCATTACTTATACTTCCATTACCAATACTACTTTTACCATTACAAATACCCACCGTACTAAATACCACCATTACTAAAACCAGCATTAGTAATAATAATACATTGTATTACCAATACCACCATTTCAAATACCACATTACAAATACCAGCATTATTAATACCAGTATTACTAATACTACCATTATCAACACCACCATCACTTATACCACCATTACCAATAATACCATTATCAATTCAACTGTTTTACCAACTACAAAAAAGTTTAATAAATAACAAATCTGAAACATAATATTTCAGGCACAGCTATTAATTAAGATATTCAGCCTGTGGTGTAAAATTATTAAGAATGTGTTAAATGCTTATGTTTATACAAAATCCAGCATTCA